ACTCCACACATGCATTTAAAACATTTAAAATTATTTGCGGGGGCAATACTAATGGAGTGCCGCCAGTAGAACTGTCGTGGCCAGGTAGGGAGTTGCATGGAGAAATTCACATATAAAGGCTACAATCGGTCTCTATTCACATAAATGTAGCCATTTTCACAAAACCCGTCGACTCCAAATGATATTCATGCTTTCTACATTTCCACCAATCAAGTTCGTCGAGTTGCATTTTCTGTGGATGCCGGATACTCGAACTTTTATCCGGGGCTATATATCCGGATATGAAAATCCATATCCGGATGGGTCGGTCAGTTTGGTCCCCTGGTTCCCGTGGCCAAGATGGATCTGCTGGCGGCCTATGCATCGAGCGACGACGAAGCATCGTCGACGACCAAGGTGACGACCCTGGCGGTAGTGAACTCGACGCCAGATGTACTCGTGCCTTTGAGGAAGACCGAGCTTTTGGCAGCTAACGCAAAGGTGCTGACGTTGAACCAGCCCATTGCCGCGACGTCGGCGCGAGTGTTGGGACCTCAGAATCCATTTCAGCGCCACGCGCCAGTCCAAGTGGGAGCTGGTCGTGAGATTGTCACTGGCGTAGTTGAACGCACTGAGATGGAAGACTTTTGCTTTGACGAAGAATACAACCAGCAGCAATTTCGCCATGCTGGTCCGCCGCAACCGAAGCGGCCCAAGACGAAGGCTTGTGCAACGTACCAGAAGGACGTCGGGTCCGAAGCCGAGCATGGTATTTGGGCGCCTTTCTCGAAGGAGAACATGTTCTGGGTCCCTTCGGACAAGGAGCGAGGCACGATGACGGAAGCACAAAAGGTACACTTCCATCGACGCTTCTCACATGACGTGCGTGTTGATAATGCAGGAGCTCCTGGCCGAGAACGAAGCGAAGAAGGCGTCGAGGAACCGCGAAGAAGAGGCTGACATGGACTTCGACCGCATGATCGAACGCAAGGTGGCGCACTTGTTACCGCCCCGCCTTGCTGCTGGTGCCACAGCGATGGAGCCCAAGTATGTGTTTGTGGCTTCGATCGCATCTCTCAAGTTGTGATTGCGGTAGGACGGCTTACCTGGACGAGGAAGAGTTTGACTACCAAGGCCGTTCGTGGGTCGATCAGTACCCTCGGGACCTCAAACCCGGCGAACACAAGGTGTACTTGCCGAAGAAGCCGTTGTTCCAGTTCGAGGGCCACACAAAGGGTGTGCAAGCGATCGAGCTCATTCCCAAGTACGGCCACTTGTGTCTCAGTGGGAGCTTGGATGGCACGGTGCGCATCTGGGATATGAACAATGAGCACAAGTGCAAGCGCATCTACCAAGGCCATAAGGACGCCGTGCGCGCCATCAACTTTGCCCCTGACGGCAAAACGTTCCTGACCGCGAGTTTCGATCGGTACCTGCGGCTGTGGGACACCGAGACCGGCCAAGTCAAGCACACGTTTACCAACCGACGCGTGCCGTACTGCATCAAGGTACGTGGTCTCGGCATGGGACGTGTTTGGATGCGTGCCGATGGTGTCAGCCACTTGCTGGCATGCGCCTGTTCCTGGCGATTCGAATCGAGATTTCGTTGAGATCGCTGAACGTGGCTGTGATGACTAGTTTCACCCAGACGAGAGCGATCAGTTTGTGATTGGGGATTCAAACCACATGATCGTCCAGTTCGACGTGCGGAGCGGAGGTACGATGCCGTCGCTGCATCGTCTCGGTGATCACCACAGCACTCTTGTAGAAATCGTGCAAGAGTACAACCACCACTTGCAAACAGTCAACGCCGTCACGTTCGTGGACGATAACCGAAGGTTGGATGCGCCGCGCGATGGCGGCTCATGGATGTGAGGCATGTTTAGATTTGTGTCGACATCAGACGACAAGAAGATTTTGATCTGGGAGTGGGGAATCCCCGTGCCGATCAAGTACGTGTCCGAGCCAGGGATGCACTCGATGCCGTCGACGACGCTGCACCCGAGCGGCTCGTATTTTGCCGGCCAGTGTCTTTCCAACCAAATCGACGTGTACACGGCGCGAGACAAGTTTAAACTCCAGCGCAAAAAAGTGTTTCGTGGCCACTCGTGCTCGGGGTACGTCCCGTCGTGCGATCGTGGATGGACATGATGGTGTCGGCAGGTACGCGTGCCAAGTGAACTTTTCTCCGAACGGACAGTACGTCGTGAGCGGCGACGGTGAAGGCCACGTCGCGTTCTGGGACTGGAAGACGACCAAGATGTACAAGAAGATGAAAGGTGCGAATGGTGGTGTTGCCGATGGACCTGACTGCAGTCTATAGCGCACAACGGACCGACCATGGGCGTCGCATGGCATCCGATCGAGCCGTCGCGAGTCGTTACGTGTGGGTGGGATGGCTTGATCAAGTGCTGGGACTAGGGTGCAAGCCCAAGCGTGCACCATGGCCGGTCTCCATCGACCGCTTCAACACTCTGAAACTCTCTTAATCTAATCGATACATGAAAAGATCTGTCTTCTTCATGCTCCATCTCTGGTGCAACCTTCGTCGTGGACGCCTCCGCGGTGTGGTGTTGTGCGCGATGAGTGGGTGGAACCCTTGCTGCTTATCCTTGCCACCTAGACCTGACACAACGACGGTACCAGACTTCACGGGTGCCATCATTGCTCGTCACCAATACAGCGCCAAACTCGATGTCCACCGGGATGGAAGCAGACCAACGCAATGGTGGGTCAGCTGACGACGACTCGCGCGTTCCGGCCGTCGTGCTCCATCGTACCAAGTCGTGAGCAACGGGAAATAGTGTAAGAAGAACCACACACTATTTTCCGCATCGTGTTCTGAGGACGTTTTCTATAAATAGAATTACCCGACATGGCGGAATTTGCGGTTGGCGAGAGATCGCGGCCATGGCGGCATGCGCCTGTCAGTAATCCTTTCCCTCTCCACTAGACAAGCCCTCGACGTAGCCATGGACGCCTTTGCGAACCTCGATCCTCTAGGTGGCAAGCCCTCGGCCTCCAAGACACCAGCGTATCCGTATTCAATCCAGCAACAACCATCGCAGCAACCGTTTGGTCAGCCCACACCACCACCAGCGTATGGAATGCCTGTGCCGTCGCCGCAGCAAATGAACTTGGGAGGGCTTGGAATGGGCGGTGGCATGAACTTTGGCATGCCACAAGCACCGGTTCCATCGCCAATGCAGGGTGGGGGAATGTTCGGTCAATGCGGGCAACAAGCGCCCCCGCCGATCATGTACGACAGCATCAAGAATCTCTTGCAGAAGAAGCCAGACCCACTTGGCGCCAGCGGTGGCGCCGATCCGTTCAGTTGCTTCACGGGCGGAGCACCCAAACCGTCGTCCCGCACAAACAGTGGCCACCTCAACCTCGACACAAAGGCTCCACCACCTGCCGGCGGCGTCTTTGACCCCTTTAGCGGTGGGGCCACTCCTGCGTCAACTCCTACGTCTGTTGGCAGTCAAGCCACAAGTGGTGGACTCTCAAGTGCCGCCGCCAACCTCTCGATCTTTGGCGACGCTTCGCCGTCCACGGGCAACATCACTACTGCGTCGAGCACTCCCAAGAACTCTGCGCTAGCGGATCGGTTGCGAGGAGGGAAGCGCCAGACGCAAGAAGCCCAGCGAGCCAACTTGTCCATCAACTCGACCGCCGTTTCAGTTGGAGGTACTTCTGTCTCGATCAAAAAGCAGCTCGGAGGTCCCTTGTCGTCGCCCGCGGAAGCGTCGCAACCCACTGCTTCCCCAGACAACCTCTTGGGGTTCTAACATCATCTTTGCTCGCATGCATGATAGCTGCCACGCCCTATTTTAACATTGCTAACACCTCCTTCCTTTGTCGTTGTCCGCGTCGAGGGAGCGCGTCGTTGGCAACACATTTCTGAGTGCTACAAGGTCCGTCGCTTGGGCCACAGCGCTCCACGAAACAAGAGCGCGTTGGACGAACTACGGCGACTCGGACGGCGCCAAGAATTCCATCCGTCGCATCGCCTGCAGCATCGATTTCGCTTCTTCCTTTTCCTACCCACGTCGTGAGGCCGGCGGTGGTGACGGGTGGTAGACGAACCGGTCCATCGCGCTCCAACAGTTTGTTGCACCACTCCATGGCTTCCGGGATGTTGCCGCGCTGCATGGAATAGTTTGCCAGGAACAACATCGCTGCAACTGCATCGGTAGAATTGCCCTACGACAACATTCCAGTCACGTCGACGGGTCGCCGCATGGCTCGTACGCCATGGACAACCGCGCGGTCCCGCCAGTGCATGCGATAGTACTCGGCCGCTTTGTCCAGGTCCTTTTCCACTTGCTCGTACAGCTTGGCAAGGCGAATTACTGCAATTCCCTCGGCGTCTTTATTCGTCACGGCGCGCAAGTAGCACGATTTGGCTTGGGCAACCTGACCGACCTTCTCAAATGCGCCACCCAGCGCTACCCACATCCGCGCGTCGTACGGGCGGATGGCCGACGCCTTTTGGTAGTAATACACGCTGTAGTGAAACAGGTCGAGCAGTTCGTAGGCTTGCCCGAGGCCGTACCTACAGCGCATGAGTCGCGCGCGTCGAGAACGACGAGGGGGTACCAGGCACGGTAGTCGTTTGGGGCGAGGTCGAGCGCCCGGCGGTACACCTCGATGGCCGCATTTGTGTTTTTCATCTGAATATACTCATGTCTACGCTTCCACATGCAAAACACCACCATGAACAAAGTGCCATGCGATAGCAACATCAAGAAGAAATGACCACATCAAGGACGAGCTTCCTGAATCACACGAGCAGCATTCATGGCGACACCGCAGCCTTCTCCGTCCATCCACGGCAGCAACAACGCATGGGCACTGCCCTGCATACCCACGCTCGAGTCGAGTGCGCCGCCGCGTCCGTGCAATCACATGTCCCTTTGTCGCGGCATATTCCCCCTCGCAACCACACAGATAATGCCTCACCCGATCAAAGTCCATGCTGCCACGCAGTCGCTGTCGAGCGTGATCGCGCGGTTGAAGTACCCGATCGCGCGCTCGTGTTGACCCTTGAGAGCGTAGTAGTTGCCGATGACGCAGTTCGTTTCGGGCCTGTACTTGTCGATTTGCTGGACGAGGTGGGCCAGTTCACTGAGCGCTGTCTTGTCCTCTTTCACGTACAGCACGTCCGAGTACAAGTCCATCCCTTCCATTCGGTACGGGTCGGCCGCCGCGAGTTGGCGAAACAGAGTGTGCGCCGCGTCGAAATCTAACCGTGCACGTTTCATGCAGTGACGACTGGTGGACGCCGACCTCGCAACTCGTAGTGCGCCCGCGCCAGCTGAGAGTGCAAGTACGAGTTGGTCGGGAACGTGAGTTTGAGGCGCTCCAAGATCTACCACCCAGCACGATGGCGATTATCAACTTGGGTAGTCAATAAAGCGATCAAGCAGCGATGGCTTACAACACCTCGATGGCCTGGGGAATATGGCATTGCAACAACAGCACATGGGCTTGAAACAGGTTCGGCATCCACGGACACGATTTTACGTCCTATAGACATGACGCGGCTTGTCCTCGCCTAGAACATCTTGCAGGACGTACCACACTCAGCCCGTCGTTGGCGGTCGCGAGCTCCATCCACGCTGACCAATTCCACGGAAACAACGCCACTGATCGATGCAGCAGTTGAACGTACAGCGACTTGACCGCTCTGCCCGAATCAGGTCAGCGTGATCAGTGAATAAAGGAGGAAGGCGAGGTTGGATGCGTAAGAAGGACGTCATGGCCATCCGAGTCTTGGCGTTTTAACTTCGATCAAATGCAAAGTTGATCCATTCACACTTGAACCAGTCATGCAAACGAAAAGACTAACGGCATGCGTGGCCACTTACGTGCGATCAAATCCCGCTTGTTTCAACACGACAGCGTACAGATACAACCCAAACGCATCAAGGTTCTTCGTTGGGCTTGCATCTGCGTCTGCCAAGTCTCGAAGAAGATCCTGCAAGTGTGGGTTCATCGCTGGTTTTGGAGTTGACCCTGCAGGACACTTGTGTCGGAGAACGACGGACGAAGATGGGCACAGATACCCGAGTGTATCTTCATTTCCAAGCTCAGTTGCTCCTTTCGCCGTTCACCAGCCTAGACGTTGTCAGCGACCCACATCCGTCACGAATGCAGGATCGATGATAGATTCGGCCTACGAGGTATCTCGCGTAGTGGAGAACGAAGAATTCCACATCGGTCAGGGTCGACACAGGTTTTTGACCGAGCACGTGGCTTGCACGGGAATATTCTTGCAGATCCATGTATGACCTGGCGAGCAAGACCAATCCATCCGACGGCGATGAGGGGCCAACCTACCGGACAGGGCAGGAGTTTGAATCATTGCAGAGTTCTCATCAAACCGGGGGTGGCACTGGCTTCTCCCGCAAGGATAAGGGCAAAGATGCATACAGCTCACATGCAAATGCAGCAGCATGCGTGAGTCCTCTCGCGCTGAGTGCTTCTCGTGCAGCCGCTAACTGCGCCGTCCACGCCGCCATGTCGTTGTGATTCATCTTGATCGAACTTGCAATGGAAAATGGACCTGTTCGTCGTATGGATTGGTGGATTTATAGCCAATCCAAATGCTTCAATGAACCATTCTTCCGTTTTCGCCAGTATGCCAAAGTCTTTTTAGCAAGTATTCGTCAATTTCCCTTGTAATATTGGTGGATATTCATGAAAAGTTAAGCGAATTTTCATCGTACTCATCAATGAATCTCACCGGTTTGTCGAGATCTTCGACGATGAACGGATGCGCGATGACGGCGACGCGACTTCTGCTGCTGCTGCAGCTGTGGGTGATGTCGGGACGTCAGGTCGCATGGTCGTGCCGCATCTTCGGGTCTGACACGGGGGAATGCAAGGAGCAAGCGGACTTTCTGCAGTACATGCCATTCTGCGGACCGCTCCTGCCCTACACGACGTGCGTCCCACGTGCTCAGACATTGTGGTACAATCACAGCGTCAAGTCCAAGGACCTGTTTCTCGCGCAAATGTTCAAGAAGATGATTGCACAACGGCAGATCTACGAAGCCGACTTGGAGATGCTGAAACAAGGTGCATTATGGGTCGTCGCTGCGTCGACTCACAAAGTTGGCAGGGGTCGACGAGTGGGGTGCCCTCGGCGAGATCGTGCCGCGGTACACCGAGAACAAGGATTGCCAAGATGCATTCCGGAACTACATGTGCTGGCTCAACTTTCCCCGATGTGACGACGCTGGCCGCAGCTTGATCCTGTGTCGCAGCGTGTGCGAAAACTTCTTCAAAGCGTGCATGGTGTGTGTCGCTCTCGTTCGCCAGCAACGTCATCGTCGTTCGTTAGCAACACAAAGACCTGTGGCGGTGCGGCGATCCCCAGTACGTCAACGGGTACTCTGCCGAGATCAGCACGTTTGCAAACAAGGTAGAGCCTTCCCCTTGACCATTGTCTCGACTACTTAGGACGTGCGTGGCCATTCACCTAGGCTGGCGTTCTGCAATACTACCGAGCTCCTTTTCCAGGATCTCCGTTTCGGGACAACGCATTTACTGCCGATCGATTGGATGCGCTGCCAGTGTGCACACCCAGCCTCCTCAACGCAGCCGATGGCCCACGTCTTGCCGTGTGGAGTGTCGTGGTGGTGGTTGGAGGAGCGTTGTGGTGGCAGTGTTTCTGAAGCTCATGGAACTCGTCGGCGGATTATTGCACTGGACATTGCTCCCCCTTCTCTTTGACGTCTTCGTGGAAGAGCGGGCTCGACGCAGCGTGTTGCTCGAGTTGCTCGTGGGATTTCTGCCGAACGGCCGATGGCCCGTCCGTTGACCCCTCTGTCGCGGTGGCCTACATCAGAGCAACTTTATGCCTTGACACACACTCCGCGGGCATGCACGGCATCCACTGGAAACTGCACGCCGACGAATTCAAGGAAACCACGGCGCGCGCGTACCGGTGCAACGCCTCCGCCCATTTTACACGGACAGGCAAAGCTGTTGGCGACGCCGGCAAAGTAGCAGTGGCCGCAGTCTATCGCATCCGCCCATCAACGGCACGTCGTGCAGGCCGTCTTTGTACCGTAGCAATGTTGATTTCGATGGCTTCCGCACCGCTTGCAGATGTCGCAGTGCTTGCGCGGCTGCTTGCTCCACCACAGCTTTCCCGTACACCACGAGTAGTAAAACACATTGGGGCATTTTGTGCACGAGATTGGAAACACAAACGTGTCGGGGGTGGCCTGCACTGGGTGCAGGAGGGTCGTGACCACTTGGACTTGCACCTGGACAACGCTCGCCAAGTTACCATGGGCAGATGTGGGGAGCAGCACGGCGTACTGTTGGCGCCCCACAAGGGCATTCCAAGTCGACCTTGGACCGCAGCACCTCCTCCATGTCTTTGATCCGGCTGAAGTTTTGCATGAGGCACTTGTCCGTCATGATCTTGGAGATGTCGATGCCGAGCTACAATTCGACATCGTCGAGTCATTCATGCTCAAACGAATCCAGTCGATGCGTACGGTGTGCATCGGGACAAATGGATTGGCACAGTGCGTACACTTGCAGTCGACACCGCAGAGGTGGCCAGCTTTGACGCACGCACAGCGGGCATTGCGGCATTTTCCCGTGCATTTACATCGGATTCCTCCTTTGGATTCGTTGGATTCCTACGATAACGTTTCAGTAGGTGGGGCACCGATGGAACTTGGCACCAAAATGGGGGCAGGAACGCCGCTGCCTTTGGAATCGATGACAGACGCAGTCCCAACTGGCGCTTTCTTTGACGGACGCCTTGTCGCGACAGGAGCTTGGCTCGGCGCAGCGGCAGTTGGAGCGCTCTCGTACTGCACGAACTCGGGCGATATGATCGCCTTTCTCTTGTTGGAATCGAAGGCGGAGAACGGCGGGACTGGCATGGAAGAAGTGCTGGAGTGGAGGCTGCTCAGTGGCCACACATTGTACACTGTTGTAGTTAGCAGCTTCTGAAGCGATCCTCCTTCTGACACTTGTGGTGCTGCCGAGTCGGTAGGCGCAGGGACGACCGTGGCCAACTGCGGCCGAATTTGCGGTATGTCCTTCCACTGTCCCTGGCCGTTGCTGGTTGCGTCATTGTCGTCGTAGTTGTTCTCGTTGAAGGATTTCCAGTCAATTGCTTCGCCCCGGAATACGTCCTTGATGTTGCTTGCATTGGATATGGACGTGGATGAAGGCACATCTACACGTCATGTCAATTCAAACTCGACGATGTGAAGGACGAACATGGTGACAAGAGTGAGACTTCATGCTCGGTGAGCGCACCAAACGTTCCTGATGCAGACGGCGCATTCAGAGTATGCTGCAGCCAGTGAAGAGTCATTGGCGAGATTCCAATCGAGGACGGGGACTCTGCCGACGACGCAGGCACGGCCGAATCGAGGATCAGCGACGAGAACTCGGAATCCAGCTCGTTCACTGGACCGACCCATGCGGTATCTGCTTCACCATTCGCATCCACAGCATCTTCATTGCCATCCATCAGCTGTGTGGGGTCATCCTCGGCCATCAGCGCTTCCACGGACGGCAGCGTGCCCGGCGATTGCATCTCTTGTTCTTGTTGCGGTCGCGGCGAATCCGATTATCCGGATGAGTGTTTCGCAAACATTTTGGGAATAAAATGTGCCACCAATCCATGTAACTCTAGTTGAATTCGCAAGTATTTATTTTAATGCACTGCTGAATCTAATTATCCGGACGGTATTTGGCGGAATGTCGGCGAATATCAGCGGCGGCCTCGGCCGCGGTCGATGCACATCGTGGCGTGCAACCGGGCCACAGCGTCGGTGACGTGATGATGCGCGCTGGGTGTTGCCCAATTTGGAAGGGATGCGTGCCCAAATCAGTTCTGTGACATCTTGCAGGGATGTCACCCAACGAAGCCTCTACAAGAGCTTGGGGGCATATACGTTGCTGGCCGCAGCAACCCCGCCAGTTTGACCTGCATCGCGATACGTCAATGACACGTTGTGGAGGGTACGTGCTGCCTTGACAGAGAATGTAGCTTGAAGGGCAGGTTTAGCTGATGTGGAAGCATTTGGTCGAACAACGACAGTATTCACCCCCACCAACGTTCCAGGCAGGTGCCATGGCAGATGAAAGCCATGCGTTGGACCGAGGCTTTCGCATGAAGACGATTCGTAAATCAAGTTTGCAACAGCGTATTGTCTTGTTAGACTTCTACGTCGTAGGGAAGTCGACCAAACAATTGTTGGTGCATGCTAACTCGTCATGGATATGTCACGGCTAAAACACTCTGTGCTTCTTGATCTCTTTGAGCCGTTCCGCTCGCCGCTTTTCCCGCGTTACCAGCTTAATGTGTGACTCGCGGGCGTTGGTCGTCTCGATGTGCCATCCAAGACGCTGGGCAACTCCGACAAACCCGCCATGCTTCTTTCGAATGGCATGGACCAAGTCATCACGTCCAATGGCCTTGAGGAACTGAGTGTCTGGCATTTCCTTGACACCGGTCTTCTTTCGACTTGACGCGACGTGCAACGGATGCTGAACTACTGCTCGCAGTTCCTGTGAGGACATTCATCCATGGTCAATGCATGGAATTCCATCGACTCTAGTCTCGTACGGCGATCAACACGTTGAAGTCTCCGAGATTCAGCTTGGTTGGCGGCGAAGGCACTCCTTCCGACGTGCTGGAAGCATACGCCCGTCGGCTAAGCAATCCCACCGCGCTACTCGCTCGGCGCACGAACATGGTGGGAAAATGCACAAATGTCCGGATAAATATGACGCCAGACGAGTTTATCCGGACAACAAGGTCTCACCGTGGGTGTCGGGCGCCGTTCGCAAAGATCCCGTATGCGTGGTGACGACAGACGCATCGGCGAAGGACAAGCCTTGTCTCGTTACTTCGGCCACGTCCGCCTTTAGCATACCGTCTTGACGCCCACCGCGTGGCCCTCCTTACTCTCCACGCCACTTCCACGGCACCAGATGCAGTCACCGCGGCGAGTTCAACCAACTCGACCTCCCATGTCCGTGCAGAAATTCTGGTACGGCTGCCACACCCTACCCGCCATCCACTGACTTTAATCCGGCTCAGGATACGGCGCTGTCACGAGCTATGCAATCGTTGGAAGCCAAGGCGAAGGCTCTCGAGGCCCACGAGGTACCTCGTACGCCTTCCTTCCCGGCTTTGGCACACAACAGGTTCCAGGACTTGATCCGAGCCCGCTCGGCTGCCAAGCTCGAGGTCGATAGCCTGTATCGCCTCAACTCACCGCACGTCATTGTTGCGGCCAAGTTGCTCGAGACATTGACCGACAGCCTCTTTCGCGAGTTTGCCCATGTCGAAGCGCATCGCGATCAACTCATTTACGACGACCTGGCGGCGGTACGATCGCTCATGCTCGTCGATCGTTTCTATGACTGCACAGTCCACTGGACGCGCCAACGCACGACAAGTGACTCGCCACTGTGTAGGCGCATTCAGTTGTTCTTGGCGACGTTTTCGGCACTCCCTCCAACGTCGAGCACATCCCGCCATGCGCTTTGCAAACGAGAAGACGAGGTGCGACAGATCTGCCGTCGAGTGCTCCACTTGATTCAACGATTGGTCGATCCTGGCGTTGGTCTCGTTTGTACACTGAAGGACAACAACAGCGACATGATTCAGCTTGATCGGAAGACATACTCCGAACGATGGACCTTATGTGCAACATTTCAGAAGTACCAATCGTATGATCCGTTCGCAGCTTTGTACTCAGGGTTCACCGATTCCTACGCGCGACTTCTCCGCGAGGTGCGTCGTCGAAAGCGGATCATTGTCAAGGCCAATAACATAGTGCATGGATTGTCCGAGCGGAGCGAGTTGCTGATTGAGTTGCCGATTTTTTTTGTTCGATTTCTTTGAAGCCGTTTTGCGAGAGAACTCGCCCGAATTGATAATGTCTTACTTCCTCCGTTCCCGAAAGATAGAGACAACTTAGTCTCAGAAATGTAATTTTCGTAAAAATCACCAGAATAGACTCAAAATTCGCAGCATTGTAGCCAATCCAATGACGAGTATTCAGCTATTTTTAGATTTTTTTTATTCGTTCAAACACCTTCGCAACCAATCGTCAAAGTTCAGCTTCAGCGCCAGCCAATCTTTAAACACCCGTAACTCAGCCATTTCTTGTCCAATCGAGCTCAAATCAAGTGCAAACGCTTCGTCTC